TGTGTGTGTGTGTGTGTGTGTGTGTGTGTGTGTGTGTGTGTGTGTGTGTGTGTGTGTGTGTTTCCTCTTCTGTTAAAACCTTTCCTGATCTGTGGTTTGATTCTTCTCAGCAGATCAATAACCTGTTTGATTTTTTCTTTGTTTGTTTATTTGTGTGTTTGATGTTTGTGTGTTTGTATGTTTGTGTGTTTGTGTGTGTTTGTGTGCAGGAAACTGGAGACTGAGTGTGACCACTCCCTGTGTGTGTTTGTGTATCACTTCTTCTTTTTTACTTTTTCTCTGTAGAGAAGGAGATTCTTGGAAACATTTACGGATTAATGCAGATTATTATAAATTATTACAGGTTATTACAGGTTATTACAGGTTATTACAGATTATTACAGGTTATTACAGGTTATTACAGGTTATTAAGGATGAAGTTCAAGCTGTAAACTCAGAACCTGATGGAAGAAAACTGCAGTTTTATTTGATCACAGATTAAATCTCATTGAGAAACTTTAAAAACCTTTAAATAAAATCCAGTAGAGTTGTATAAAATATAAAAATATTCTGTTTTCAGCTTCGTTTCACTGAACTCTAAACTAATTTTACTCATGAAACATTTAAACATTCAGTAAAACTCTTCCTGGTCTGAGTCGGACTGGGCAGTCCTGGACCTGGTCTCAGAGATTTGTTTCATAAAACAGTTTCTGTTAGCGGAACTGGATCCACCTAAAAGCCTGTCTGAAGGGTCTTGTAGCGCCGGTACTTCACCCCTACTTCCCCATGAATACAGAACTACAGGAGCAGGGAGAACCAGGACTCAGCTGAGGACTAGCAGGACCTCAGAGACCTTTGGACTTACAGGTTCCAGGGTCTGGAACAGAACCAGGATCAATGGTTTACCGAAGCTCCTCAGAAGCTGGTCATGAGGCACCAAGGACTCCCTGAAAGAACTGGTTGGAGGTTTTTGTGGACTCCCTGGGAAGGATTTAGACTGTGTGAGGAGGGAGGTACTGACTGGGTCCACTGAGGACCTGTTCCCTCCTTTCTGCTTGGTTTCAGGACTGGTTCTGTTTGTGGTCCTGACCTAATGAAGACGACTGCCAAAGACTAATAGAGGACCAGGATGCTGTCCTGTGGAGGTCCAGGTGTGCTCAGTAGGAGGCCAGAGGTGGACCCTCACCGGTCTCTGGAGGATCTGTTTGAATGCACCAACACAGAACTGGTCCCCACCAGTCATTGGTCCACAGCTGAGGTCACCTGTCCAGGTGTAAAAGCAGAGTGGGAACCACTAAAACAAGAAGTTCACCAGGTTTATGTTTGGACCCTGGATGGACCTGGAACATGAGTCCGGTACAGTTTTTAAAGACCATGTGGTCCAACATGTCTGAGCATCAGAGGGAAAGAATAATCTTTCTAAAAATATTAATTAATCTAAGAAAGAGTTAAAAGCTGAAAACTTCCAGAACACCATCAGATGAACAGGAAGTTCAGGTCTGAGGATGATGAGTGGTTCGATGATGAAGGTTCACACTTTGTTCTTCACTTCATTAATCCTTGTTTTCTTTGGACGTGTAGATTTGTGTCCATATGATTGGCTGATGACATCATTGTGTCACGTCTGCACGTGCTCAGTTCAGCGTCAGACTTCAGGTTTCCAAGAGGGAAGCAGGAAGTCGTCAATTAGTCAGAGAATTAAGATTAGGTCTGAAATTATAAATATAACTCCTGAGTCACTGCAGTCCAAACTCAAGTCCAGTTTTTTCTCTTGACTGGTTTCAAATATGTTTTATTTCAAATTAATTTACCTTAAAGTGATCAGTCCGATACACTGCCTGGCCAAAACAAGTGTCCACCTGGATTTAACTCAGCTGGGGTCTCTACAGGTGGTCAGGTCTATGATGTGGTGTCTACAGGTGGTCAGGTCTATGATGTGGGGTCTCTACAGGTGGTCAGGTCTATGATGTGGGGTCTACAGGTGGTCAGGTCTATGATGTGAGGTCTCTACAGGTGGTCAGATCTATGATGTGAGGTCTCTACAGGTGGTCAGGTCTATGATGTGGGGTCTACAGATGGTCAGGTCTATGATGTGGGGTCTACAGGTGGTCAGGTCTATGATGTGAGGTCTCTACAGGTGGTCCTGTCTATGATGTGGGGTCTACAGTTGGTCAGGTCTATGACGTGGGGTCTCTACAGGTGGTCCTGTCTATGATGTGGGGTCTACAGGTGGTCAGGTCTATGATGTGGGGTTCCTACAGGTGGTCAGGTCTATGACGTGGGGTCTCTACAGGTGGTCCTGTCTATGATGTGGGGTCTACAGGTGGTCAGGTCTATGATGTGGGGTTCCTACAGGTGGTCAGGTCTATGACGTGGTATGACGTGGGGTCTCTACAGGTG